ATCACTCTTTGTCACTCAAAAATTCTGAATGTCAAAATTGTTCTTTCTCGTGTTGTTTTGTTGTAATTTGTGATTATTTGTGGGACTTATTTAGAAGATCTACTTCACTGCATACTTGGTCATTGGTGTATTAATGCAATTTAATTTTACAACATGGCAGATGCAAATGCGAAAGAGCAATCCGTTACTAAAGTGCCTATGATTTATGTTTGTGGAGGTAAGTTCCAAAAATAATGTTCATTTAATGAAAACTTAATAATATTCTCTAACTTATCGTTTCTATCTACTGCTTCACTCTGATGTTTCTTTTCTTTACAATATTTAATAAGCGCACAGATTAACATAACCTTAAAAAAATATATTGCCACACTGGATGCGATCTGCGCTCCAAAGTGAACGAAATCCGCATCATATGTGAACAAATTTCTCGGTCATTTTGTATTGATAGATACCGCAGAACGCATCTAATGTGACAAATTCTTAAAATTCTCTACTCTAAGCTAAACTCTGATTTTTAATTCGACGGAATTTTCACATTTCAGAAGTGTTGTCAACATTGAAACATTCCCATTATGAATTCAGAGCATTTTCACAAATTAAAAAATAATCCTTTCTTGAATTTAAGGTTTCACTTGAAAAACTAAGGCTTAAAAATGTACTGATCATTTCAAAANGCAAAAAGTTTGTTCTAGAAATGAATTTGCCATCCTTTAATTATCCGAAAATGACACCACACTTGCCCTAATACCCATAGTTTTGAAGATATGGGCCTTAAAGTGAAGCGCGGCAGAAGGAAACTTGCCCCCCCTCCCCCTGCTACCACAGGGGGGGCTCCCGATGTCTACCGACGGAAATCTACTCAGGAGCACCCAAAGAACAACTGGTGCAAAAATGAGCCTTCTATACCAAAGTGGAGGGGTTCTTGCACTAAATTCCCTACTATAAGCGCACAGATTAACATAACCTAAAAAAAAAATATATTGCCACACTGGATGCGATCTGCGCTCCAAAGTGAACGAAATCCGCATCATTATGTGAAAAAATTTCTCGGTCATTTTGTATTGATAGATACCGCAGAACGCATCTAGTGTGACAAATTCTTAAAATTCTCTACGCTAAGCTAGTTAGCTAGTTTAGTCGCATATTTTATTATTTCAGAATGCCATAGAGAAAATGAAATTAAGCCCAGAGATCCAATCAGATGCAGAGAATGTGGTTATAGGATCATGTACAAGAAACGAACAAAAAGATGTATCCTTTTTATATAAAAAAATACTTCATAGTTAATATACTTGAACAGAGAATAACATTACAAATGCCTGTTTATCGTCAGTTTCCTATATTGAAAAGTTGAGATACCCTCACATCTTTAAAGGGGTATTTCTCATTTCAACATAATTTTATGATTTAGTACCCAACTTATCAAATACAAAAAAGTTTTAAATTGGTCATGCATGTTTAACCAAACATTTTAGTACTGATTGGCCAATCAATGCAAAAGTATTATTCCCAATATAATTTATAACAAATATTTTTGCATCTCTCTTCCTCATACCCATTACCCTCATTTTTAAATACTCAAAAATGTTTTACATTTTAAATGTTTTAGGGGAGATTTTGCATCCACAATCTTGGGGAAGGGGAGCTCAGGGTACACTCAGGGTTTTACAGGTGAAGAGCACTTACTACCAAAAATATTATGAATGATTTTCCTTAATTCAGATTTCAGTGGTGGTCTTCGATGCCCGATAATTATGGATATTTAATAGATAAGCTTCTAATGTAAGAAAAAAATAAACACGTAAGTTCCCAAGTCTATTTTATTTATTATTCATGATGTATAATCCCTTTCTGCTCCCACCAGTTCCATGTAAACCATAGAATGTTAAATAATGGTGGTTATTTATTGAATTAAACTTAAACTGTTATCCCCTTACTAATAAAAATTAACACTTGTTAGCAGTGTTTTAAAGTGATGTTAGTATGGATTTCTTATGCAGAATTAGGCAGGTATTTGACCGCAATTGCACCAGCTGATGTTAAGTGAGATGCTGTCTAGGATGGTACATTGTCTGCCCTGTAAGTGCTTATTTACTCTCGCCTATAAAAGGCCTGGATTATACTTTTCGGGAAAGAAATATCATTTCAAAACAGTGTACAACAAGTGTGTAACATTTTTATTAGTTAGGGGGCATTCAATGCTATCTGTATATTGTTATTTCGATTATGGTATATTAAAAGGAATCAAGATCAAAGATTCAAGTTAAATTAAATATGACTTGCAAACAAACTACATCTCATTAACAAATTACTAATATTCTTTAAAATATAACAAAAGCATATTTTATGTACATACTTCAAAAAAACCATAAATTTCACATAAATAAATTTGAAAAATACACAAAACTTTACCAAAAAAAATGGGAAGATTGACTTTTTTATGTAATGAAACTAAAACGTCGCTTTTATTATAAACATACCTAAAATAAGAGTCAATAATAGTGTAATATGACTAGGTGTATATTTGTATGAGTACCTATTTGTCCAAGGTATAGTTCTTATTACATTTTAAACTACTCAAGATTAAAAAGTGCATGCAGCAAACAGAAGCAGTTGGAGTTTCAGCTTCTAGAAGAAAAAGGTTTGACAGCAGAAATCATATGAATTAAAAATCTATATTGTTTAGGAATGAAATTATTATGAATTTTTATAGCAGCTTAATGGGAGCAAAAAACTCTTGGGTTTTTCAAGATTTATGGTAAGGGCGCATTTATTTTATTTATTTATAACGATTTTCAGTCAATAATATCAATATAATAATACTCAGACAGAAAGCACAAAACATGAGATTTCACTACTTACACAAAAATACAGGCATAACGCATAAATTAGTAGTTTCCAATAGTGGTAGTGGAGCGGGGCGTATAAACTTCTGAAGCACGTGTCTAAAGTCCGGCGGCATCTTAATCACGAAGTACTTCATGATTCAGCATCGTATTTTCTGATGTGGTTCTAAGTTTTTTTTTCTCGTATTATGCTGAGGAAGTAAGCATGTAATGGAGAAAGATTGGATTAAACCAAGGTAGGTATACAAAACTTTTCAATACTGAAGTTGCTGGACCCTGGTGGAGACAACTATGTAGGTACCTACCTAAATCATTCATACAAAATTAAATGATGCTGGTGAAAATCAAGCCTTAGACCGAAGGACAAAAGTGTACTCCTTTCTCGCGCAAATTAGTACTCACTGGCGCATCTGCATTCATCATTCGTACTAAGACTAACATCTTTAATATTCGAATCGGTACCAAAAGAATCCTGGGGGGCAAATTATGGACTTATGACGGGGGGTGAATCGCCCCGGATGCCAACCCATGCTATATTAACGAATTCTATAAACATAAAAAATGTTGGTCAATACTACACTCGGCATCAAATAAATCGCACCCTCCACAACAAGCACTTCTCAAACATATGTATCCCCACTTCCCAACAATATTGGCACCATTTAAAAGCCTAGTTCTAATCTTCATTTCATAAAAGGAAAGGTTTTTACCCCAAAAATGTGTCTGTAGAAGAATCCAGTCACTTCTTAAAAAAATAGGTAGTTAGGTACGCTTGAGCCAACTTTTATGGCTATAAAACGAAACTGTTAAGTTGGGATTAATCGTTATCCATCTGTAAAAGAGGACACGTGAGATCATTATTTGGTTTTATAACCATAAAAATTGGTCTAATTGATCCCAGTGGTGAGCCCAAAGTGAGGTCTGTTTTCAAGTCACATTTATGGTATATGTTAATTAAAAAATTAAATGTGTTTTTCTGTAAGGATATTTATTGGGCTTTCATATAACACCAATATTGTTGGGGCACCATGATTGTGTCAGAAGAAAATCTTTAAAGTTCGCGTCGCGGAAGGTGCGGTTTATTTGATGTTGAGTGTATTTTCTATTCAAACTATTTTTTTTCTTCATAAAACTTTAAGGTTTATGTATGTATGAATATATAAATAAATTCATAATACCTTTGATCATTCATCTATTGATTCAATCCGTTTGTATGTTTAACTAGCTGACCCGGCGAACTTTGTTCCGCCTTAATGGCAATAAATAAGCAGACTTTTTTTTTATTTCGAACGGGATAAAAAGTATCCTATGTCCTTCTCCTGGCTCTAAACTACCTCCCTGTCAATTTTCAGCTTAATCGGTTTAGCCGTTCTTGAGTTATAAGCGAAGTAACTAACACGACTTTCTTTTATATATATAGATATAAAATTAGTAAGGGTGAAAAATAAATAAAAAATATAAACAAATTATGAAACCCAGTTCTCAAAAATTTAATACAAACTTATTGTACTATATTTTCGAACAGTTGTGAAATTCAATAAGAAAAGTACATAGTAGATACACTTATATTTCTGGAATTATTATTATAATTTAAGTAATTACGAAAATAGGACTAGAGTGAAAATATAAAATTAATGAAATGTTGTTTTGATTTCGGAGTAATTTTTAAATATTTCATTTTTAAAAAATTTCATTAGTTTTAAACTTTCACACCTTTAAACAATGAGATAACTTCACTTTTAGGTTTATTATTTACAAACCATAATTCTTATCACCCAAACATATTTTTGATCAAACAAAAAACTATGAAACTGAACTAAATTCTCATAATATTAATCAAGCTAATTTTATTTGATGATACACGTTTAATATGATACAGACAATGATATTATTATTTGGGTTTTTACAATCGTAAATTATGTATTTACCCAAATAAAGAGTAACTAGTTTAAACAAATATCTAGCACATAAACTATTTTTGATATGGAAGACTCTTCAAGGATTTTAAATATATCTAAATTTCGTTTATGGGATTTGATATGCCAATTTTTTAAGATTTTGGAAGATGTTTTGTTACACAGTATAAATACATTTTATTGGTATATATTTTATAAAAAAATACATACAAAACAGTTATGGTACTTATCAAGCTTACTTGATTTATATTTTAAGATTTCATAATATGTTTCATTGATATTTCAAGCATATATTTCTCCAAACTGGACCACAAAAGGTTACTGTAAGATTTGTTTTCTAATATTTTTGAATCGAAGCTTGTAAATAACTTCTTACCTATTTAGAGTTCAAGGTTTCGAAATCTTTATATTACCACTATCTACCTATAAAGAGTTACTAATAATAACAAATATACATAAGCCTTATACTGGAAGCAAATTTAACAACATTAAAACTATTTCAATTTGAGATATTTACATGAAAATTCACAATTATATTGAAACAAAATACAATGTGTATAATTAAAGCGCATCATTTTGTTTCACGCTTCCGAGTCTAACCCCAATATGAATAATTACATCTTAAATAAACAACAAAAACAAAATTGCACATTAAATATCCTACTTAATATATTTTGGCACTAATTATCTGTGGCACTATAGTTAACTCGTGTTTCTTTATCATGGTTTTCACTGTTTTCAACCGTCTTCATCTCACTGTCCTTTTCACTTTCACATGTCTTTTCGCACAGCAGAGCGTCGTCGTCCTCGGAGGAGTCCCGGCCCGAGGCGGCGCCGGCGCCCGGCGGCTCGCGGTACTCCAGCTTGGACGGGTCCTTCTCGTGCAGCTTGCGCGCCAGCGCCTGCAAGCTGGCCAGCGAGCTGGCGCAGTCCGTCGTGTCGATGTCCGTCAGGCTCACGCCCGCGCGCTCGATCTCCGTGAACGTCCCGAACGGCAGTTTGAACAAACATTCGAGTCGCATCACGTGCATCTTGCTTCTCAAGTGCTTCGCTAGGTGCCCGTGTATTCTGAAAGCGATGTTGCAATCCGAGCAGCGGAACGGCCGAGGATTGAAAGACGTCGCGGCACCGAACGTTGACGTCATAGATACTTTATTATGATGAGATCCGGAACGTTCGTGTTTCTGAAGATGGCCCCTCGTGCGGAAGCTGACTGCGCATACGCTGCATCGGAACGGCCTCTCCATGTAATGGATGTTGAGATGCAATCTCAATTGTGATGGTTTTGTAAATGTCTTATTGCAAAAATCGCAAACTCTTCGCCCGTCTTCCATGAGTCTGCCGGGAGGGAAAGATGAACCTTCAAATTCTTTTCCCTTGGTGACTTTGAACGCTACACCACCGACTCCGATTACGACTTTTCTTGCAATAGGGTCGTGATCTAAAGATGGTAATTTTATTGAGTCTCCTTCAGAAACGTTTAAATCATCACTCTGGGCATTGTCGTCAACGTTCATTTTCATATTATTACTTTCGTCGCTTGAATCGCCTTGGTTGTTCAAAACTTCATCCTGAGACTTAATAAGATTTATCCTGGCTTGTTTTAAATATTCTGAGACCACATGTTTTGCATTTTCAGCGTTAGTGTTGGTTGTGTTCGGTCTTTTGTTATTATCAATATTTATTGGTGGTGTTGGGGGACAATCATTTCCACTGCTCGGGGTTTCCTCTTTAGTTTCGACAATTTTGTTTACTGTATCGTCTGGTTTATTTTCAACTGCTGTTACTTTTGCAACAAATGTTATGCCAGGCGAAGTGACACAACTAGTAGTTGTGCTTTTAGAAGACACAACTTTAGTTTCGTGTTCAATGACACTATTACTATCAATAAGTACAGGTTTATCCATATCAATCTTTCTGGTTTTAGTTAAACTGCAAGCCAGTTGACTTTGTTTTATTTTAGAATCCAGGAAGCGCTCTTTCAGTCAGATAAGTGTGCAACATTGGCTCACCGTTAGACCATTGGCTTGGGTGTTGTGGAAGTTTGGCCGTGTTGGACGCTAGAGATGCCAAAACGCTGGACTCCCGTGCTGTTGGTATTTCGGGAATGTTTGGTGTCAATTTCATGTCACTTTTACTCAAGTCCATCGGTTCGTTATCAGCGTCTTTTGAATCGACTGAAGTGCTTCTCGAGACAAGTTTTTCAGGTATATATTCTATAGTCGAGGTGTCTAGTCCTATTGGTGTGTAGGGATATGTAGAAGGTCTTGCACTTGTGATTAGGCCCGGTGCCGCAGAAGAAGTAGGTCTAGATCCACCAAGCGACAGTAAACAATGGGCCGCTTCATGTTCAGGCAGTCGCGATTTGCAAACTTCAGTGTCTGAAAATAAACAAACTTTAATAAATAATCGGCCAAATACTGAAACACTACTCAAATCCTTCACTCAGCTGACGGGCTCCTAAATTTAAGTATCCTTCAATTTTAAATGGTATTCTCAAACGCTACTCAACGGATTTGAAGCCGTGATCAGCTAAGCAGCTCTCAAATGTTTACATAATGGCAACATTTACCAAAAAAAGTATGTTTTCATTTACACAAATGATAACTTTACGTCTTTTATCCATTACACGCAGCATCGTTTGGTTATGTATTGTCTTTTATGGAAATATACTCAATCAACTTAACATAGAACAGTTTATTTTTAGTTTCTATTATATATAAATCTCGTTTTATCATATAAAAAAATTAATGCTTGCATTTTTATTTAATTAAAAAAATAATTTTAAATGTGATACTTTTTATTGTTGAAATCTATTAAGTGGCGATCGTGGACCGAAACGTAACCACAATTGACATTTATCATTGTTGACTGACAGAGCATCAAATTGACAAATCAACAACTCTTGGAAATGCTGCTATGCGATGTCCCCTTAATCCTCAGAAATAGGCATGTTTATGTAAAGCGATTTCATAGCAGCTATTTTGGTTGTTACTTCGTGCACTATACGATGCACAGTTGGCTGTTAGATGTGGAAGATATCACCTAGTACACGTTCATAACTTCCCGTTGCGTAGAACAGTAGGGTTATAATAAGTATTTGGTCCACTGGTTGTATGGCATTTGGTGAGGGGTTTCAAAGAGCTTCCAAATTATGAATCCAGAAACAACACCGTTTCTTTAGAGACGCGGAACCTCGCTCGGAATTGCATGTCATTATAATAATATTTTTCAATAGCGTTCAGCCTTATTGCGTTCCTGCGATTAGATCTAGGTATTTCCTCGAGGCTCGAAAGAAATGATAACGATGACACAGACATTATTTACCACTATTTAGGTCTATTTAGGTATAAGAATAGGATTTAAGATACCGCGCAAGCACTCTCAAATTTAACGGCTGCTCAAGACGATTTGACAGTTGTTTGAGTAATGCTTAGCGTTGAATGGCGTTTCAGTATGCGAAAATTCATTCGAGTGGCGTTTGAGTGCAACTTAATTTGAGAGGTGCTTAAAAATTGAGAACTGCTCAGATATTGTTTTGAGTATGCGAAATGTAAGTTTAGGAGCTGCTTAACTATTTGAGAAGCCGTCAAATATTTAAATGGCGTTTCAGTATTCGGCCGAATGTAACTCAATGATAATTGGACTTAAGCCCCAAAGTTTTAAAAAACGTTTTTTTAATTTTACAAGAGTCCTGTTTTTATTAGTCCCCAGTTTAAAATTCAAATCTAGAATTTGAACATTGAAAAGGTCGAATGCGTATTTAAAATTTTCGGAATTCAGTATATTTTTGCTTTTTACAAAAAACACAAACGATCACTGGTACCAGATTACTACAAAATGTTAAAATCTTACCACTAGATTCTGTTTCTCCTTCGTTCCCTTCGTCGCCATCCGATTCAGTTTCGTCGTCTGTTTCGCCTGAGCATTGAGTCATCTCTCCACCTTCCTCCGTGCCCTCGTTGGGATTGATTCCTAACTCGCAGCACTTCTTATAATGTGCTTTACTCTTCATGTGTTTGGTCAGATTTCCTTTTGTTTTAAAACTGAAACAAGAATATAAATTGGTTTATTCATTTTGCAAGGNTTGCAAGTATACATTTTATACGTTTTGTATATCAGATGGTTTATTTGTTTATGCGCGCCTAATTGAACATTAATTACTTCTTGAAATACTTTTGCAATTAAAGGTATAGGTGGCCACCCGAAGTGATCGATTTTATTTTACCCTTTGCGTTCAAACAAGTTTTGATACTTTAATAACTTGTTTAGTACACCTGCCAAAGGGCTTAAAAAGATAATAGACAAGTTTATATTTAATGGGTTTCAACGAATGATTTTTCACTGGCCGACATCTCGATTTCTATTTTCTCTATTTAAGGCTTATCTATAGCGAATCGTCGATAAGTAGGCTTAAAACGTTAAAATATGCGAATGCGATATGAACGATCAAAGTAGAATTTTGGCCTGGTAACTGATTAATACGTTAATACTTATGTATTTGTTTGGACAGGGTAAGAAGTTTAAAAAATCTTAATTTTACGGATCCTGTTCGATTTCCGCTGAACAGCTTTTATTAATTACTAGCTTTCCGCCCGCGGCTTCGCCCGCTTGGAATTTTGTCTGTCACAGAAAAACTTTATCGCGCGCGTCCCTGTTTCAAAAACCGGGATAAAAACTATCCTATGTTCTTTCCCGGGACTCAAACTATCTCTATGCCAAATTTCATCAAAATCGGTTGCGAGGTTTAAGCGGGAAAGCGTAACAGACAGACAGACAGACAGACAGAGTTACTTTCGCATTTATTATAATATTAGTTGGGATGATTATGATGTACCGAATGCCGATAAAAACTAATGGGTTGTTATAAAAACTAACATCACCTATCTTGCTACATAATAATTATCAGCTGACGGCTCTCTTCAGTACTTTAAAATATTATTATATTGAAATCTAATTAAGACCGTAATATGTTAAAATTATTTTGTTAACATTCTTATGGATGCCTATACCGATACCTTTAATATTGACATGTTAATTAATTGTTATTGAATCTGAAAAAAAAATGAAGTGTCTACTGTAATATTAAACGATACCTGAAGGCACAGTGCACACAAGTATACGGGCGCACGTCGGTATGAGTGCGAATATGTTTCTTTAACATTGACGGTTTCTTGCAACGTATTCCACATTCTGAACAAACGTACCGCCCTCTACCTCGACCTCGCACGTATGTGTATTCTTCGTTACTTTCAAAACCACCAGTCAACTCCCTTTTCGCTGTTGTGTTATTTTCACAGTTCATTAGTTTATCTTCTTCTGACTTTTTAGTATCAATTGATACTATTGCCTGAAAAATCAATACAATAACGTTAATTATTTTCGAAACTTAGTATTAATAGCTTCCTTTTCAAAAACGTCCAAATTTTTTGACCGTATATACCTGTTTATTATCCTTAGAGTTTGTGTTCCACTGCGACGAGTGAGTCAATATGAGATCTTGCTTCATCACAGCTAGAGCCACACTCTGAGGTCGGTGCCGAGAATCATAGAGCGACATGGCAGATGAAGCCGATAGTCCCAGCGGATCTGGCGTCAGCTCTGATAATAACTGTAAACAATAATTATTATTTTAATTACTGAATCAACTAAATAATTAGTCAATTTATAAAAAATACTAATAACTATAGTTACCTGCCAGTTGCTGTACATAGACAGAAAATGCTGGTTAGGGACATAAGTTGGCTGAGGACGGTTGATAGTGCAATAAAATACTTTTGTTGAACATTTCAGTCCGAGATAAGTATATGCGTTCCCGTTCAGATAAAGCTGTCCATAAGCTTTAGCTGGTCTTGGCGTTTCTGGCGAAACTAATGACATAGTGTTAGCATTAGGTGTAATTCCATGATGCCTTTTTGGAGTAAAAGTTCCAGGTTTTAAAGGCAACGTGGTTGGTCGCAGGAATTTTGGCTTCCTATCCTCTGCAGTTGATTTTGCTGTGACATTCTTTTGAAAATATAATGTTTCTGAACGTTCATTCGATACAGAAAAAACGTTATCTTGAATGTTCATATTTTTTGGGACTTCAGATGAACTTGGAATTTGATTGTTATAGATTTCCACTTTTGTTATTAGGTTCTCAAAATTAAAGTTTCGTATCTCCGTCTCGGATTTGATAGTAACATGATTAACTTTGTTTAAATTTAAAGTGTTAGAATTTAACCTTTCTCTAACCTTGATTTTGTTGGATGTATAATTCATATTTTCTTTTAAAACAGGGGTTCTTGGCGACCCATCTGAACTTCTCTTCAAACTTCCATCTTGCTTGGAAATTACTGGTTTTATAAGGCTTGGCGAAAATGTTTTACACAGTGCTTCAGGTTCATCGACATTTTTTACTTTTATTATCGGAACTGCAGAAATATATTGTGGCATTTCTCCAGAATACTTGTCTTGTTTTTGCAGTTTGTCACATTCCATATTAACTGTTCTTAAATTTGGACTCCTTGACTTCAAAAGTGGCTCATAATTAGAGCATGTCATTGCTTTTGGTGAATGCACCTCAATCGTAGTTGTCATATTGTGTCCATCATCACGAGATAACATTGGATTACCCTTAGCAGTTTCTTTACTCACTATAAAGTTTTTGTGTTTAGCAGACAAATTGCCCACAAACAAACCAGGAGTTGGTGACTGTACCTCAATCGTAGTTGTCATATTATTTCCATCATCACGAGATAACATTGTATTGGCCTTAATAGTTTCTTTACTCACTATAAAGTTTTTGTGTTTTGCAGATAAATTGCCAACGTACACACCAGGAGTATTTGGTCCAGGCATCCCAGGAACATGAGGAATTAACTTTCCGCCGTGCAGAATGGTTGTGGGAGTGGCACCGTTTGGTGAGGCCGATGGGCTCAATGGAGGTAAAGTTAATGGATTAAATGCCGTAATAGCACTCAATGGAGGAAATTGAAAATGCGTTATATCATGTAAATTAGGCAGATTGGAACTGGAAATTCCAGGCGTGTTGGATATTGAAATTCTAGGTGTTTGTGGCTGCGGCGTCACAAGAATTTCTTTGGGCGTCGGAGGATTATGTACCATTGTGCCACCGGAGTGCAAGCCAGACCGAACAACAATACTACTGGCTTCTAAATCATTAGCTAATTTAGACGGTGACAAGTTTTGCTGAATCAATATCGGAGATAGTTGATTTTTACTAGGTTCTATACGTAGTGTAGTAGTGCCTCCAGAGTGGTCTACTATTTTCACTTCACCCCCGAACATCTGTAAGGACGTTGAGTTGTGTCTCATGTGTGTGGACATTTCTTCTAGTGTTCGAAGTCCTGTTGCACTTGAATCGATGCATCGTACTTTAGGTTGAGAATATAACTCGCCAGTACGGGGAGACACATTTTCTATTAGTCTTGGACTATAGTTATTATCTGATCTGCTCTCAATTTTTCTTTTTGGGCTAGCTATTGGCTTAAATTTTAAGTTCTCATTTTTTCTTGATATTTCATTAGAACTTTTTGAATCAACTAGTCTGGTGTTCCCTAACAATGGTCCAGGTGAGGGTAGAGGAGCTACTATATCATTAGATTCTGACTTCATTATTACCAAATTATCAGGCTTGCATCTTAGAGGCGATGATAGCTTATTGGACGAGCTTGTCTTTGTATAAGAGCTTTGTGGTGTTTCAGGCAAACGTACGTTTACAGAATTACTCCGCATAAATATATTTTCCGGTCTGGCTATTTTAATATCTTTTTGAACAGTATTGATTGCTGTAGTATTGATAAGACTACCTTTGCAATAATAATTTCTGTGAATCTCTAGATTATCTGCGCTGCGATACATTATTTGGCACAATGGGCACACAAACAGTGGTCCCTGTCCATCAACTAATTCACTCGGTACTGGTGTAAGGCCATTTGTCTTGGTTTTTAAAAGAAGGTCTTTAATTATAGATCCTTCAGGGTTAAGCGGATGCTTCTGATGATCAATATGTGAAAAACTTTCCGAATGCGATCTTTTTCTAAAATTATTTTCTGTCTCGGTACTATTTTTTGTCAGATTTAATGGTGATGGGTCGATTTTAGAGTCAAAATTTTCATTTAAGAATTGTTTACTTTCTGCTATCTGCTTTATTTTGCCATATTTTTTCTGCAACGGTGTTTCTATAACATCTACAATAGCTTCATTATCTGATATAATTTTGGAGATATGTTCCGTAAGAAAGTCTGCGTTTGGCGAGATTATTTTCTTTACCTTATCTTTTTCATCAGTGTCATTATAAAATGCTGCTCTAAACTTGGGTTTGTAAATTGATTTTGACTTGCTATTTTCATTTGAAGATAAGTTGGCGCTTATCTGCGATACGCCGTCGTTAACCAATTCCGGCGAAGAGAATTCGCTCGACCTTATAGACAGGCTTTCATGGCGGAGTGTGGATGCATCAGATCCTGAATCGGATACTGGTGTAGGTGGCATAGACGTATCACTTTCCGACCCTCCTGATAAGTCTTCGTCGTTTAACGCAGTAGATACATCCGTTCCTTGTAATCTTAAAGCATGTGTTCTGGATCTTCGATGTTTATAAAGATTAGACTTCGTTTTAAAAGCGAAACCACAAGGTACACAAGGGTAAGGTCTCTCATTTGTATGGGCTCTGATATGTTTTTGAAGTACGGAAGGCTTGGCACAAGATAATTTACAATATGGGCATATATACCGCCCACCTACCCCTCCGTTGTAGGATTCCCTGATAAAATCATTTTCAAGGTTTTCAGTCTTATTAGAAAATTCATCAGTATAACTGGTCTGACCAGATACTTGAATATTATTATTTACATTACTTAGCCTACTGTTCTCGTCGTTAAAATTAGTTTGTACATTTTTCTCTGCATCCTGAATATCAATGCTTTGCTTGTCTGATTTCAATTTAATTTTCTCTATTTCTGGGTGGCCTGCTGAGATACTTCCATTGGAAATTAAAGTGTTACATGTAGATTGTACTACACTTGATTCTTTGTGTGCATTTTCACCGCCCTTGTTCGAGTTGGCGGGAAACATAGAAATGGACGATGCCATTTTTTTGAACTTCTTGTGAAGATAGCTTTGGTCATTGTTGTTGGAAAAATTGGAGTCCAAACGTTTTTCTTGAGTGAGCGGCATCGTACCCGCGTCGTTATTATCTGAAAAGAAGAAACAATGACATGTTTACTAAAATATCCCACTGTCCCAAAATACTCATGCAAAAAGAAACAAATATTTCGTACAAGACTTGACGCATTGCGCAGGTGAATTATTTCTATTGGCGTGTAAATGTGACATCATCGTGACGTAGTCACAAACCAGTGTTAACGAATGAGGATATCCCCACTCACGGATTCCTTTTTTGTTTTACTTCCATCGAAACGAATCGGTTAGCATCTGACTTCGATTGAGTCACTGCTTATATTAAATACCTATTTAGTGGTTCTTTTAATATTTTCTATAGATGCAGATAAGCATGTTTCCAAAAAGGTGGTATATGCGTAAGGTGATGTGATCGATTGCAAGTGTGTGTGGGTGTTTATGTAGACTCAGTTCGAATACATGTAGAGGTACGACGACGACCTCGCTTTGCGCTCACTAGTCGTTTGTGGACGGCTGCGTTGGTGCGTTCCAAGAAGGCGTTACAATTTCTCAGAACCGGAGACAAGCAAACCGCTCCACTCGCTAACAACGAGGCAGCAAATAAGCGGTATACGCATTACGCACACATCTATAACTTACACAATCAGAACATTCTTTATGTTCGTTTGCGATACCATTTTTAATTAATAAAAAGAAGCATACTAAACAAAGATATTGTATTTGATAAGAAAAAATCAACCTTATGAAATATTTTAAACAAAATTTAACTACTTATGACATCATTTATTACGTGAAAGGGTTAACAAGGCATAATTGATTTTATAATAATGATATTTTATAAAAAAAATAAACAGGTATACGATTGGAACCATTAGCATAGCATAAATGGTTGCTTATAGTTGTTAATAAATTATTAGCCAAGGATGGGAATAACAAAAAATACTAGTGTAGTAATGAGACAAAGGAATCCCGGCGGTTGGCCGCCGCCCGCCGGCCTGGCGCCAAGCCAGCGGCCCTGGTGACGCCTCTGTCGGCCGCCACCACGCCGCCTCTCTAAACTTCTCTGACGCTGTATACACTCACTGCATACGAAGGAACAACTTCATCCATATGTTATGGGGCAGTTTCCTATCCGTATTTCTGTTTATTTATTTTCCGTGTATTATTGTTCTAAACAATCTACTTTCGGACCAGGAATAACTCTTGTTATACATATAGAGTTGGAATTTATAAATTTGTTTATTTGACGCTAGTAAACTGGTTTTGTTGAGTCATATGATTAGTAACTATGTCCAAAGAAGTTTCATTAATGATACATATTTAGGCAAGTACATGTTTAAGTATTATGCTATTGTAGGACTTGTTATATTGTTGTGATTGTCAAATATCAAATATGTATACAAAATTATATGGGCAAACTGTTAAAGATATTGTCGTCTATTATTTCTTTTAACAGTTCTATACAATATAATAGCATAAATATAATTTATTATTAAGTATATTTTATTTATTATATTATTAAAGTAAATACAGTGCAATATGTTGTGGATATTGGAATACAATATTATATGTATTTTGTAATTTGTATAGTAAAAGAAGTAAAATTATTACTCGATCCAGGGAAAAAAGAAGGTTCATAATTATCATAAATCCATGAAACATCAGGCTAACATAAAAAAATCTTACCGCGGTATGAGAAATCAGTCCACCATTATATTAATGTCTTCATATCATTTGTTTACGCTTCCAGAATAAATGTCAACAAGTTCGATAGGCTGCATTTCACCCGCGCACAAGTGAATCATCGTTAATAATTGCGCGACGATCCACGCCGCACAACACACACATACACCTGAATTGTCGTCACCACGCGTCTCACTAAGAGCTCTTTAAACATAAGCCACACTTTCTTTATCACGATCTGTAATTATCGAAGTATAGATAACGTGCCTATCTATGTTATTTGCCTTCAAATCTTCAATGTGTTCCTGTGGTCGTACACATTCGAGTAACGCAACGAATGATACAGGGTTCCACGCCGCGGATGACTGTACAACTGTTTGTACCAGTCGTCGGCTCGCTTCGCTCCGGTCGGCCTCCCCGCGCCACCCGCGCACCACCCGCGCCGCCGTTCTGACTCTGTGCTCCCTGCGAGTAGTGATTCATGTCGCGTTTTATCTATCTCTCTCCTTCACCGCAACCGGATCGGTCGTTCTTCGTAATCTATTTATACGTATCTATGCACGGACTTTAACACCGCGATTATAGTGCCATCCTCTACCTACATAATAGTAATGAAGCAGTGTCAACAGTTTAGTAGTATGTAACGCGACGTGTATGGGATAATTACTAATAGAATCTATTTCATTGTATGAATAGCAAAAACTTGAATCCTCTCAATTGTTGAGCTATAAATTAATTACGGAACTAGTAGACACCTACCTAGTTATCGTGATTGCCTGCCTACGTATGTATCAGCAGCGCGAACGACGCAGTGTAATTTTCATGCAGCACTGATTTCGTAACGGTTGCGCTCGACTAGAACGGTTATTGGCTTTGTATACTAGCGTCCATTGCATTCTCCAATATAAACGATAGCGGTGATAAATATGATGATCTCATAAACATTCAAAAAGATGACAGAATATTTTAACGCTTATCATTATCGAGCAATTTACAATGCTAGCAAATATGAATAAAACTTGGTTGGTTGGCACTTTCCTATATTTAACTTATCTCGTGAACTCACTATCAGTATGTAAGACCCCTTTATCAAATTCTTTACTTACAGACAAATAAGCTGAGCGTCACTATATTAATCTATTTAGTTGTTAAGCTGCTTGCCTGATGATAATATTCAGTGGAAACTCCGCGGTACCCGCGCTAGATACGAATGTATAATAAATAACACATTATATTTGCAATGATAATTGGTGGGCGCTTATCAGTGTTGCGGCTGTAGAGGCGATGACGCACACGCGTTGCTGATAGGACTAGGAGGCACTCGCTCGATCGTGAATAGCTTGCAGGAAGCAGGCGATACGCTGACCTGTCGACACAGCTTTGTACAGCCGAGCAAATAATTATCATAATTCTGAAATTAATGGTTATTTATAAATAATTATAATTGAATTATTGCAAGATGTTATAATAGGAAACATAATCGGTTGTGATTTTAATGATGTTACAAAATATGAAATAAATTCCGGTTTTTTCAGTTCAACTAGTTAATTTCCAATTTAAGTAGCAGTTAATGCGAATGACAGCTGTTTGGCGAATGGCACGTGAAGCGGGGGCGCGGGGCACTTGTTGCGTTGTTTGGTTGGCGTTCTCGCCTGTTGCGAGCGCGACGACGTCACGACCTTGGGCCACGCGGCACGGGGAACGTCGGTTTCTTCTGCATCATGTTTAAAATTCCATATTCGTCAGTCTCACATATAACAACAATACGCGGTGGAACAATATCTGACAGTTTGCCTTAGCTTTAGAAACTTTTTGCTTGTATAATTTGCGTAACTTAGTAGTCGTTTGAATAAATTATATTTTATCTATTTAATGAATTGTTGTGATGATTGAAATATTTCTAGTAGAGTCTAAACCAGTGGAAACAAGTAATTCAAGTACCTATTAATTCCGAGTGACTGTGTATTGTATTAAACATTGGACCAGCGGCGGGCGCCATAAAGTCGCGTGGGCGGGAAACCCGTCTTGGTGGCAGCCAGCGTTAACTAACGAAATCATCAAACGTCTACATAATATGAATATACAAATCTAAGGCGTTACGTACTTATTTAGATACCCATTTCTTATTTATCTCTTGACGATGATGAGACTTGAAAAAATATGGCACGGCGTTATTCTTGATTTATATAGAAACAAATATTATATGTATAATATTCTTTACGATACCGATAAATACTAGTATTATGTATTATACAATAGCATACAATATAACATTAATAATACATTAGCGACATTATGATTTTAAAGGCTAAACGGTGGTTTATTCAAACCTCTTGTAGTAAACTCCTCCAATGGGTCATTTTAAATGCAAGTTATTTATATAATGCACCCAAACATCTTTTGAGTTACTCATTTTGCGAGAAGTAAAAGGCAACCTGACCGCTAGCGAGAAACGCCCGCGCGCCTGTGCAACGACCAAACTATAGCCTCCCCACCTTGCTTGGACTTCCCTTGGAACCGGGTCATCGGCTGGCTGGCCCGACCGCTATGCCGCCTCGGTGCCGAGACGGGCCGCACCCGTATAACCACCAATTCTATCTCCGTGTAAGGCTTTCTATAGAGTCGCCACGTCACATCTACTTATTTAACTTCTATACACCGATTGGACCGATGCCACCAAAATATTTGTGAAACCACGGCCAATAAGTTGCGCAGTGGCAACACCTGCGTTACATAACCAAGATCTACCTAGTATTGACAATATTTTAACGTAGGTATATTTTAAGTAGACTAAAGTCTAATTGCAAAATATACTTAGGTTAAAAATATACTATGTATGTATAATATTAATACTTTTCTGGTCAAGACAAAAAATATATTGTATAAAAGTCACAGTTTATATCCGAATAAGTCTAATATTATCTATTCACTTAATTAACAACTAAAGTAAACAATATCAGTATAAGATATTTAATCCATCTTAGTTAATTTCCATATCGTGCATACAACAATACTTGTATCAAGAGAATGGCGTCATTCTCTGCGAATTCATCCGTTCGCGTATCAACGACTAAAATACGCCATATGTATGAATGTGACAATAATACTCGTGAGTCAGACAAAGCCGTACCACTTGACCAAATAAATAACTATTCATTGTTACTGTCTTTCCTCAATGATGTTCATTGTGATTCGCATTCAGAAATACAACGAAAGGTGACAATTTTATTATTAAAAATATTTTTTAACATTCGTAATGTTTTTCTATTTGCTTGATAATTTACAATCGTTACCTGTGTTAAATACAACAAGCTGTTGTTTTTGTCTTATAATACTAGTGGGTACTTTCAATGACGATATATACCTAATGCTG